CTTCCCTTGGGCTTTCTTGGATTATTATTTCCTTTGAATCACACATTGTCATTTTTGTTCCATAAAATGAATATATGAAGTTGCAAGTTCTACTAATTGAATATAAATCTTGTTTTCCAATAACCCTTGCCTGAAGAAAGGTATCAGGACTAAAGACTAAAGCAAAATACTCATTTTATGGGAAAACAAAAAGCTTTAAATGTTTATCCATATGAGGATGCACAAGGGAAAGAGAGAGACTTTATGAAATTAGCAAATTGAAACTTGGAACATGGGCTTGACCTGTGACTGCGTATCCAGTTTTCCTTCCTGCAACAATACTGACATTGTACCTCCTTAGAGTTGGAAATGAATGACTGGACTGAACACATAGAATTGTTTTTCTCTTTTCTCAACATTGTTTTATTAACTACCAAAGCAGCCTTTGCCCTCTCCGTGAACTGAACAAACCTCTGTCCTACTGAATGTGTGTACAGAATTTTAACTACTGAAAAACTGTAGCTGAGTTCTGATAGATTCTCCTTGTCCTTGCGTTAGCAATCATCAGCCTTATCCTGGGCTCAGGAAGAGCAGACTGCACGGTCCATGTGCAGCGGCTCTTAGAGGTGCTAGAATTTTCTGAGTTCATTTTCTATGCCATATCTTTGGCAGACCCATGATCTCAGTACACAGCATGCTGATTCCTTCTTCAATATTTGTTACCTATGCCCAAGCTAAAGAATCCGACAGAAACAGCTTTCCGGAATAGCTGCCGTCCAACTCACTGTGGCGGATGAAGGGTGTGCAGTTGCCCAGAAAGATCTCATCTCCCTGCTCTTTCGCCTCAGTCTCTTTTGTCTGGACTTTCTCATGTGCTTGGTCCCTGGAGAGCACTGCGCTTACTATTACCTTTTCTATTTTTGCAGGCAAGGACTCTGAAAAATCCTGTGGCTCCCAGCAGGAACTTTGCATACTGCACTCATTGTGTCCCCCTTTGTCCCTTCTTTTAAACTCCTTCTCCCCTTTGAGGAACTGCAGACTCTCAGACCAAGCAAACTGTCTCCTCTGATGTTCAAGCGTCTTTCGATCTTTCTAGTTGACAGAATGAGCCCTCCAGCCTCCCTCCCAGGAGACCAAGTCTAGGTTTACTGTGTGTTTTATCAACCCGGGCCTCGAGAGGGTTGAGTCGGCTTGACACGTGGCTCACTTCTGCAGTGCAGAACCGGGGTACCAGCAAAGGGAGAGGGTGTCCCCCTGGCTTGGCCCGTATGGCCATGTACATATCTTACATCCAAAAGAGATCTAACTTTATTTATTACCACCAGGGCATTGGGAAAAATAGTGGGCTCAAGCTGAATGTTGACTTCAAAGCCATTTTGAGTGCTTTAACGTTAAGGGTCCATCCTAGCTTTCTCAAGTCCTTTTTGAAATAAAGCAGAAAGCACAAAGGTGTTCGGATGAATGGATAGAGATCTGCAACATCATCTTCACGAATTCAACATTGGTCTAGTGCTTCGTACACTTAATGTGTCATCACTCTCCTATTGCCAAGGCCACCCACTGGTCCTACGCATGACCCTTCAGAATGGTCATCACCACCTAACCCTAACCCAAGCTGTCCTCGAGTCTTACATGAATTTTCACAACACCCTGATGTTTGTCTTGTGCTCACCAGTGCTATCTCACCTTCCTTGCCATGGCTACGATGGCTTTTCTGGAATGAAAACCTGACCATGTCCCTCTCCGGCTTTAAAGCTTCCACTCTCTCCCAGTTGCCTACAAGAGAGAATCAAAGGTAAAATCTAGAATCCTCCAAAACCAGATTCCCAGGTCCCCTTACTCAGCTTGTTCTCAGGTCGCAGTTTCCACCCCGACATTGTTTCTTCCACCCTCCCCAGGCACCCGGGGGTGTGCAAACACACCACCCTTCTTGCCGGAAAAGTCAGGCTGGATTTCAAAGCACCAGTTGCTAACTCTGTAAAACTGGGTCAAGAGTCACTCACCCCCTCTGAACCCTGCTGTCCTCAGTAAAAGGGGGGGTGGTTCTGAAGATGTAGGAGATAATGTCTGATACAGCTCAGACTAGAGCTAGTTCTCCATCTGTGCCTTCGAGGTATCATTCTCTCTACTCAAGATACATCTTTCTCTCCTTCATGGGACAAATCCCTACTGATCCTACAAGACCCAGGTGATCTCCATTATGGTAATGTTTGGTTTGCCTCCCGCACACTGAGTTAGAGACTTTCTTCTTTGGGTTCTCACAACTACTCAGAGCAATTATTATATCACAATGATACGACTGTAAGATCCTTAAAAGCAAAGGCTTTTAATCTATATCTTGACTTAGTTACTCAAAAATTGTTTGTTGGCTGGGCATGTAATGACACTGCTGGACTCTGCCGTACAGTTTTTGAAGAATTCACACTCCTGCAAGATCTAAGCCAAAGGACTGACATAGATAATCACAGTTTAATGAGCCTCATTGGAATAAGGGTTCCACGTGAGGCAGAATCAGTCAGCCCTTCTGCAGGCCCACAGGGAGGTAGGGAAGCCTTTGCCAGGCAGGACAAAACATCATGACAAGTCCTGAAGCATGGGTGTGGATTTAATTTCCATTTTTCTTAGCAAGCCCATGCTTTTGTTATGCCTGCCCCTCCTCATACCCCAGAGAACCTTTAGTTTGAGTGGTAGAAGGCCAGGAAATTCTTAAACTTTGGCTAATAGTTCCCAGAAGACAACTTACAAGAGCAGATAAAGCATATTTCATAATGCAGTTCTAGTTTTGTTTATAAGTCCTGAAAGTTATAAATTACCAACAAATCAGCATATCTTTAAAGATGAAAACAAACTACTCAGAGAAGATAAAAGTTTGAAAACTACAGAGCTATAAAATGTTATGTTTTCATTATATACCTACCAGAGAGCAGATATATTTTTTAGAATCTAAATAATTGGACTGCCCAAATGAAATTGAAAAATGATGAACCACGACTTACCAATCTATTTTAATATGATGTGGAGAGTAAGTCTTACCATTTTCATAACATAGGAGGATGTTCAATAAAACTTTGGATATAGATTTTTTTTAAAGAAAGGACTTTGCAATATGATGAGCAATGCAAGCTTTGAAGTGTTCATTGCTGAAGTTGATAGAGTACAACTATAACACAGAATTCTGTAGCACTGTCTACTTCTATCAGTTTATCAGTCTGATTGGAAAACTCTAACAAATAATGAACTATTTTCTCTCAGTAGCACTGATTGCAACAACAAGTGTCCCTGTTTTGTCTTCACTGGCGTTATCACATGCTTCCCTGATGACAGAGAGAATATCTCAATAGTGACAATGGTAGCTGCTATTTATTCATTGCTCACAATGTGCCAGAAAATTGGCTGAGGAGTTTTATTTATGAAGTTAATTAGAAGGTTAAGTTTGCATCTTCCATTGTCTACATCGCAGAAACTCAATCTCCATCACCATATATGCTAGAAGTGTAATGGGGTAAAAAATAAGGCAGCCAAGAAACCCTTCCAGAGCTATCCTGGAAAAACAAAATGCAGTCATGTCAAATAAGTAAAAGTTGAATTTGAAAGGGTACAATGTTCGGGGTTGGGGATTTAGCTCCGTGGTAGAGCCCTTGCCTAGCAAGTGTGTGGCCCTGGGTTCAGTACTCAGCACCAAAAGCTTAAAAACAACAGCAAAAAAGAAAGGGTACAACCTTAAGGCCATGAGAGATTTCATTTCTGCACAAGCCAGGCAAAATTACTGGGCAGAAGATGTGGTCATCTTCCTTCTACACACACTCCACATGCAGAATTTGCAAGTATTTTGGTTTCTCAAGCTGTCCCCTTTTTTCATGTATTCAAATAGCAGATGGGATTTACAAGGGACCTCCTGCCAGCTCCATCCATTTCAGGGAACTCGAAGCAACTTTTAAGAAGGACTCATATCTGGTTCTATCCCTCAGCTCTCACACCTCCAAGGCCAAAATGATTGGTACTGAAGCCACAATGCAAAACATACTTCATTTGAGAGAAAATGCCCAGAAAGACTGTTTGTTACTACTTCTAGGAATATAGTCATTTTCTCTTTTCTAACTTGGTAAAGGAAAATGCCATTATATAAAAACATAACAAGTTGAATAGAGTGGCTTCCGTGTTGTGACTTTAATAACAATCAACTCACAGGTTAGTATCACTTTGTCTACAGCCCTCTCTTGTTAACCGTGTAGGATGCAAATGTTGCCCCCAGGTCACATCTACACGACTAACATCATCAGAGAAATTTTGCTTCTCTGTCTCTTTCCACTCCATCCCTCTCCTTTCTGTGGAAAACCTTTCATTTTCAGTTTACTGTTTAATCCTCCCTTTTTATTTACTTATTTTTTAATCAAGTCCTAGAGACTATGCGTGCTGAGCAAATGTTCTAATTCTGAATTGCCTCCACAGCACCCAGTCTTCTCTTGTTTTAAAAATGAGTGAAGGGCAGGGAATTTAGCTCAGTGGTTCTGCCGCCTGCCTCGCAAGTACAAGGACCTCAGTATGATCCGATCCCCAGTACCAAAAAAAACAAAACTAAAAAAATAAGTAAAAATGAGTGAATACATTTATATTTTAATACCCTCTTTCTGAAATAAAATATGGTTCTAGTAATTTTGAAAACCTTTTAAACAACTGTATGTATTAAGGTTATTAATGGTTATTAAGGTTATTAGCCCCCAAAGCAAGCAATATAGTTACATGTTTTAAAGGTAAATAATGATTTGAATGCTTTACGACTTGTAAAACCCTAGAGCTGTCATCAAGAGAGCACAGAGGGGAGTCAGAAAATATTTTGATTTCTTAAAATTGAAGAAAAGTAATAAAGAGTTTAGAGATTTTGAAACAGACCGTCGTGTTAAAGACATGCTAACTCAATCGGAGAATCTCCAAAAGGCACTTTCTACGGTAAGCATATTAAAAACAGGTTTGAGTAGAATGATGTGACTGACAAACCCTCGAATTGCTGTTCTTCCTCACAGACCGGATTGCACAGAACATCATTAAGTCCCACTTGGAGACGTGTCAGTACACCATGGACGAGCTGCACCAGTTGGCGTGGCAGACCCACACCTATGAAGAAATCAAAGCGTATCAAAGCAAGGTACTCTGAGAAATACTTAGGGGCTCCTGTGATTACCCGCTTTGGCTTTCTCGGCTTCAGCACAACTGACAGCTCACGTCAGACCCAGACCTTACTCTAGGGGCCACCGTGGACTCTGGGATACTTAGCAGCCTCTCTGGTACTAGCCTCATACAGTGTAATAGCCAAAACTATCTCTAGGTATTGCCAAATGTTCCCCAGGAGGCATAACTGTCCTGATTGAAAACCACTACTAGAGTGACCACAGAAGTCTTGCCTTCATCAGATGGCTTTAGGACATCTTCTGGTGGCGTCTGGGGGCCAGGCAAGGGCCGGAGCCATTGCATAACCACAGGAGCAATAGCAGTCGCAGGCTTGTATGTCAAGATGCAGAACAAAACCTTCTAAATTTTTTTCTTTCCCTACATATCAAAAATGGTCCAAGAAAAAAAAGGACGACTTGCTCTACAGTATTAGTAGTAATGCTTTCTTTTACATACATTGGAAACATTTTGAGGAAGGAGTTGCTTCTCGGTCTGTGTTCACATCACTTGACTTTGGGGTTGATATATACATTTTCTTTTTTGGTACCGGGGATAGAACTCAGGATCTTGGGCTTGCACAGCAGGTGCAGTATCACTGAGATAAATCCTTGGCCCTAACTGAGATATACATTTGTAGGCTCTATCAGTTAATGGAATTTTAATAAAAAATAAACATGAATGATTTGGGCAACACTGATTTTTCTCTAAGAGGAAAGCTAATTCCTTCTAAATAAACACAGGAACAAAGACATAGACATTGCTACCATCAATAAAAACAGAATTAACCTATGTGGATTTAGGGTTCACCAAGAAAAAACCCAAGTGCAAAATATTTGAATATTGTATGTTACTTAAAAGCATGATTTGATTTGATTTGATATCTTTTTTTTTCTTTTTGGAATTTCTTTTATTCAAAGCAAAATCTCCCCAAGTTCTGGAAAAAGAAAACGACATAAAAATACCATAAGCTTCATGTCCATGAGGCACCCATTGAAAATGATATTATGGAAGGGTGTGAATGCAATCACTAGTCCTCCACCTGAGGGTGTATTTTACACAGTGAATTAAAATCTTGAGTTTGTTTTTGTGAGGAGGAAAAGCTAGGAAAGAAAATAAGCATCTTCACATACTATAGACACAGCCGTAGTGCTTCCACAGCCGGGGCATACTGAGGTGCAAATGGGTCTAACTCTAAATAGAAAAGGAAACACCGTCCTCCTCTTGTAAAAGAATTGTGCCCTTTCCTCCCTGGAGCTCCAGATGACGGGCAAGCACCACAAGCACCACAAGCAACCCTGAGTGTTTTATGGATTCTCGGTGAGTTCCTGGCCCTGTTCACATGCTGTGTCTTCTTCCCCGAAGTCCAGGGAAGCGCTGTGGCAGCAGTGTGCCGTCCAGATCACACACGCCATCCAGTACGTGGTGGAGTTCGCAAAGCGGATAACGGGCTTCATGGAGCTCTGTCAGAACGACCAGATTCTCCTTCTGAAGTCAGGTGAGCACGGAAAAGGTTCATGGGGGCCTATGTGAGGAGTTTTAGGTAGGCCCTTCCTTCTGCGATGGTTCTAGGCATCCTCTTTCCAGTAGGTAGCTCGTTTCACCACCCACATCGTCAGACAACCCCCGGAGGAAATGCGCTGTAATAAATACCCGCTGATCCTCATTCAGTTCCCCTCTGAAGTCAAATACAGTTTTGCTTATTGAAAGTGGGGCTATTAATTGCGGAGGTTGAGATTCCCAGCTTGACAGGCAATGCAAGTAATTAGTGGGCTGAACTGCTGAGCTAGCGCTAAAACTTACTCGCATTCTGTAAGGGGAAAATTGCGGACTAGCTGAGCTCTCTGCCTCCGTGGTCATTTCCAGTCACTCTAATGAGAATAGCCTGCAGCCAGGGTACACCAGGAGAAACTCTGCTGAGCTCTATTCTTTCTCTCCTTCTCTCCTACACCCCACCACACATGAAATCAGGCAGGCAGAAGCTCCAAGAAGCTCTGCGTATAACTGATTTTGCAAATGCTATTTACCTAACAAGAAAAAAAAAATTACTTGTGTTTTTCTTGGAAGAAAATAGGAAAATTGTGGTGTTTGTGTTAATTTCCATGGTTCTCAACCACAAATATCAGTAAAATTAGCATCCTTTTTATATATGATAATATAGGTACATATTTTCATCTTTACCTATCGCCTTGCATTTAATCTTACGAAACTGGTATTATTTCCATCTTAAAGCAAAGGAAACAAATATTCAAAAAAGTGATGTATTCAGTATCACAAAGCTGATACTAAGCTGAAGTTAAACTTGGGCCAAATATAACTTTTTTAAGGTGTTGCTTTTGCTTTACCAGAAAGTGTAGATGGATGAAAACCTTGACTCATGCACTTATTTTGTTATCAGTTATCCAGCAACCCTAAACATTAGTTAAACAACTACTTCTTTTCAGATCAAGGCTCAGCACGAATGACTTATCTCTGTTCAAATGATGTTCATCAAGGCAGCTCCTGAGGGGTCCAGAGGATCCACTTTCAAATTGGCTCACTCACCTAGCTGACAAGCTGTGCTGGTTGGCCAGTGGGAGCTCATTAGAGGCTCTGGGTTGGGGGTCTCAGCCATTCTCCCTGTGAATTTCTCCAGACTTCTTGAACTTCCTGATACACTGCTGCTAGGCTCCAAAAGCTATAATTTCCAGAGAGCAAGGCAAAAGTGCATAGATCTCTGATTTAGCCTCAGAAGTCACAGAGCCTGTGTACCTGGGATGTACCAATGAACTCAAAAAAAGAAGAAGTCACAGAGCATTAGTGTACAACAGTGAATTGGTCACAGCATTCACAGAGGCCTGCCTGGGTTCAAGGGTGGTAGATATGGATTCTACTTCTTGATAAGGGCATGGTAAGTCTAGCAACGGATGTGGAATGCAAGGCATCATTGTGACTCTCTTTGAAAAATAAAATCTGCCCTACTTGATATAGAACTTTAAACTAACCTCTCAAGAAGCCAGTTTCTTCATTTGTAAAATAAACAGATGGACTAGGAACATGGAATTCCAAGCTTGGAATTGCACCAGGAACACCAGAGCACCTCACTGAAAGTTCAGGGGCATAGGCACCACTGCAGGCCATGGGATTCAAAATTCTGAGAGGGGAACCCAGATGACTGTGTTTCTAAGTAAGACTAGAATATCACCAATCTGTGGACTGGACATTCGGGTATCACCGAATCATATAATCTTTAACATCTCTTCCTCCTTGTAAAAACTGTGACTTCAGAGTCTGTCACCTTCCATTATACTATGAGGCACAATCCCATTTCTCCAAACTAGCAAAACTGTGCAACACGTCAGTTAATGTTCAGAGAGAAAAACAAAGATAATCAATGAATTCAGGCAGGCAGTATTAACCACTGACTGTGTGCCAGGCAGTCTTCTCATTCCCAGACATACAGGAATAAATGTAATAACCACAGCTGCTTAGTGCTACAGACAAGGTTCCTGCCCTCTTAGGCTGACAAAGAAGTCTTTAAAAAGTGCTGTATTTATCCAGGTTGATCTATCCAAGACTTCTCGGAACCTTTGGTCTGTGAGTGTTGGTTATAACTCACGGGGGTGAGATAATTTGCCAAAACTTACCTGGCAAACTTATTTCAAAGGGCATCAGATATGAGTGGTATCCCAGTCAAGTGCAGATGGAATTTCTCCTCAAACTCATCCTGTGCTGAATTATGCATGGAGTATGTTAGAAGAAACTCCGTGTCTCAGGTAAAACTGAGAACAAGTTTCTCCAATAGCAGAACTTCTACAGAAGTGAGCAGAGTGGACCCACCTGACACAGTTTCCCTCTCAGTCATTTGCCATCAATTATGACTTCAAGAACTGAGATTTAGGGCCAGGGACTTAGCTCAGTGGTTCTGCTGCCTGCCTTGAAAGAGCAAGTTCCTGACTTCGATCCCCAGTACAAAAAAAACTAAAAGAACTGCGATTAAGTTTAATACTATTCAACAATAAGAAATCCTTCCCCCAAAGGATGATATTCATGCTCTTCTCCACATTTCAAGTATATTTTCTCTGTAATTCCTTGCATAAGCATTAAAAGAGCTTTATTTTTAAAATAGTTATTGAGTTGAAGGACTCTCCAGGGCTGTCTGTGGGTTTCTGTATGGGCTTGGGTGTGTGTTAAAGTTCTTGAGAGTCTCGTAACTTGCACAGAATTATGACTAGGACGTTAAGTACATGCTTTTAATTTTTTAACTTAGGTTGCTTGGAAGTGGTTTTGGTGAGAATGTGCCGTGCCTTCAACCCATTAAACAACACTGTTCTGTTTGAAGGAAAATATGGAGGAATGCAGATGTTCAAAGCCTTAGGTAAGTTTCCCTTGGAGGGTGGCATGGTTTTATTAGCTACTGTAGCTTCTCCTGAACTGAAATTGACGAATGAAATGTCTTGATTCTTTGATGTGATCTCCTATCATGGTGTTCAGTAAGAGTTGGACCAGAAGAACCTACAATATTTCATCCAACTTTCCTGATTCTACAATTGTAGTTCCTTATACAAAAAGGAGTGAACCATAGACCCCATTGAGACCTCATGGAAGTAGATTGATGCTAAAAATGCTGGGATGCATTAGAGATCATTCTTTGTAAACTCGACTTTTTTCTTTTACCTTCTGGTTTACTGCTTCTCAGAGTATAGTATACAGGTCACTAACAGTCTATGGGGTGACCTCTTAAGTTTCTTATGTGAATCCATAATCATTAGTCAAGACACCTAAAAGAGGAGATTTTTCATGTACTTCTTGCCCAGAGCAGCAATTTTCTGCCAGGAGACTCGTGGAGTCCTGGGACACTGGTAGAGCTGGTGTTCACCTGGTCAAAATTACCCCAAACTCTCTTGGGGCAGGCTCCAACACCATCAGTCTTTGCTTGGAAATGCTGTGTGGCACCACCTCCGGTCCTCAGTATGCCACACGGATCAGAGGAACATTAACGACGATGGACGGATGCCAGGAAAGGTTTCGATGATTGCCAGTACCACTTGTTCCATACCCTGCCAGAGGGCACCAAAGAAGCCAGTGCCCTTTCACCTCTCGTCCTGTTAGCTGATATGGCAGCCAAGAGCAAGCCCATCAGGACCAGCAATGTCTCCCTTCCACAGCTGATATCCATCCACGTTGTCCCCAGGGCTAGATTTCCAAGAGAGAAGAAAGAGCCTTGGCAAGCAACCTCAGTATATTTCCAGCTTCATCAAATAAACATTTACCAAGGATCAGTGAAGAGATGCAACATTATTTTGCCAAAATTCCCAATGGCTAAGCAACTAACCTGCAAGCCATCCATTAGAAATTAAAAATAAATAAACGATAGCCAATTGAGAAGTAGCTCATTTCCATCCTAAGAAGTTTCTGACGTCTCAGTTTAAGCCCCTAGGTACCTCAGACAGCTAAGTTTAAGTATCACTAACACTAGGGGTCCTCTGCCCCTATATATAGAGTGATTTAGATTCCCCACGAATGTTATCTCAATTCCAAAATATCCACAGACATTTACTTATAACATTTTTAGTGATAAATCATTTCAGAACTATAGGATGATACTCAGATCTTGTATTCCCAGCTACATGTCCTACTGACAACGTATCATGTTGATTTACTTGTGACTGGTGATGATTTCCTTGTTCCGTAATTAATATCCATCATAAAGTCATCTTGTATGGTTAGAAACTTTAAAATGTCTTCTCTAGGTGTCCAGTGTGCAAATCCTTGGATAACTCCTTGATAATGAGACTTTCTTCCTCTTCCCCAGTTCTAGGTTCAAGCACTTCTGTTTAATTTTTCTTCTTCTTTCATAGGTTCTGATGACCTAGTGAATGAAGCATTTGACTTTGCAAAGAATTTGTGTTCCTTGCAGCTGACGGAGGAGGAGATTGCTTTGTTCTCATCTGCTGTTCTGATATCTCCAGGTAGGGAGGTCTCAGGCCTTCACCTTATTTTTAAACCTGTTTTACTATCTTTAACATCAATTACATCTATAGAAGCCAAAGTCTTCAGGAAAAAGAAACTTTAAAAGAACTATATTTTCTTTAGCAAGGTTTTGATATTTGGAGGCAATGCAAAGGAAAGTAGCTTCAACTTTATTAAAATGACAATTCTGCCCCAAAAGCAAGAGTAGAGCATGGGACAGGGGGTCACGTCAGATCCAGAAAAGTAAAATTGTTTCTTAGGAAATGAATGAAGACAGATAGCAGTCTGAGTTCTATTTCAACTTTGAAAGACAGAGAGGGCCAGGGATTTAGCTCAGTGGCGTTGCTCCTGCCTGGCAAGTGCAAGGTCCTGAGTTCAATCCCTCATACCA